GCGAGCCCGAGCCGGCCCCGCCGCGAGCCCGAGCCGGCCCCGCCGCGAGCCCGAGCCGGTCCCGCCGCGAGCCCGAGCCGGCCCCGCTCCGGCGAGTTGGCCCCGCTCCGGCGAGCCCGAGCCGGCCCCGGCGAGCCCGAGCCAGCCCCGCTCCGGCGAGCCAGAGCCGGCCCGGCCCCGGCGATCCCGACCCGGCTCCGTTCCGGCGAGCCCGAGCCGGTCCCGGCGAGCCCGCGCCGGCCCCGCCCAGGCGAGCATAAGCTGGCCCCGCTCCGGCGAGCCCGAGCCAGTGCCGGCGCCGGCGTTCCCGCCCAAGCGAGCCCGAGGCGCCGGCACCGCCCAAGCGAGCTCGAGGCGCCGGCCCCGCTCCGGCGAGCCCGAGCTGGCTCCGGCGAGTTCGCGCCGGCCCTGCCCTGGCGAGCCCGAGCCGGCATCGCCCCGACGAGCCCAAGCCGGCTCCGGCGAGCCCGAGCCGGTTCCGGCGAGCTCGAGCCGGTCCCGGCGAGCTCGAGCCGGCTCCGGCGAGCCCGAGCCAGCCCCGCTCCGGCGAGCACGACACCCCGCCTCGGCGAGCCCGAGCCGGCCCCAGCGAGCCCAAGCCGGTTAAAGACAAGAAAGGCCGTAGATATTTTGTTCACTAACCTAACGCGTCGGTCTTGAATTAGTTCAAATTAGTTCAAATTAGTTAACATTAGCTGACGTCATTTATCAAAATTTTCATCAATTTAACCAAATTAGTTAACATTATTTGACATTATTTATCAAATTTTTCATCAATTTAATCAAATTAGTTAAGATTAGCTGACATTAGTTATCAGATTTTTCATCAATTTAATCAAATTAGTTAACATTAGCTGACGTTATTTATCAAAATTTTCATCAATTTAACCAAATTAGTTAAAATTAGTTGACATTATTTATCAAAATTTTCATAAATTTAATCAAATTAGTTAAAATTAGCTGGCGTTAGTTATCAAATTTTTCATCAATTTAATTAAATTAGTTGACATTAGCTGATCGTTAGTTATCAGAATTTTCATCAATTTAATCAAATTTGTTAAAATTAGCTGACGCCAGTTATGAAATTTTTCATCAATTTAATCAAATTAGTTAAAATTAGCTGGCGTTAGTTATCAGAATTCTCACCAATTTCATCAAAATAGTTAATATTAACCGTCATTAGTGAGAATAATTTTCGCCAATTTAGCAAAATTACGCAACACCATCTCCCACAATTTGGTTGAATTTAATCAAATTAGTTGGCGTTAGCTGTCCGCGTTTGGTCTAAATTCTTCAAATTAGTCAAATCTATCTGGCGCCGGTTCATGAATTTACTAAAATTAGTGAAGACTAGTTGCGTCGACTTGGTCAAATTCAATCCAATTAGTTAAATTTAGATGATGGCGGCTGGTCTAATTTCATCAAATTTGTTAGATTTGCCTGGCGCTGGCTCCGTAATTTAACAAGATTAAGCGGGATTAGCTGGGTCGACTTGTTCGGATTTAACAAAATTAGCTGACTTTAGCTGGCGGGTGGGGGTCTAACTTCGTCAAATTCGTTCGATTTAGATGATCTGGGTCAGGGTATTTCATGGAACTAACTCAACCTGGATGGTCTTGGTTCAGGTAATGTGATCAAATTAGTGAAGGGCAGACGTCGGCAGCTGGTCTAATTTTATCAAAGTCGTGGGAGTTCGCTGGCGTAGGACCCAGCTAATTCGCTAGCATATTGCCGCCAGTCATAGAAAGAGGCCAGCCATGGAAAAAGCGGCGGCGCGGTTGGCTGTGTCGTTGGACTTATGGAATTGCGGGGGGCAAAAATCCTATAGATGTGTCCTCCTCGCGGGCGCCCCCTGGGTGGTGTTTTCTGGTTCATCTGTGCGGAACTTTGCAAGAAGGTCCCGCCGTTTGTGCTAATGTCAACACTAGCCAACAATTTTCTGCGTAAAATCGAAGTGGCGAAGGGTTCACTTTGTTGCAGTAATTTGATTTCTATAGGTCTGCGCCTTTGCGCGTTGCTTACGTTGTTGGTCGATGTTTGCCTTCTCTATTCTTTGGAAGGAGTCGGAATCTGTGGTCGGTGTCTGCGGTCTCTATGTCGGAAACTGGTGAAAAAAGATGATGCAGGAGGAGGGAGCGATATGATTGTCGGTGGAAAAGGGTTCTGCGAGTCGGTGTCCTTTTTTCGTCGTTTTTTTCTATGTTGCTGGGCTTCGTGGGCTTCATCCTCTTACTTTGTGTCAATGAATTGGACAAAATTTAGCTTTAGCTCCTCCACCCCATTGGCTTGATGTTGTAAGCAAAAAGAAAAAATGGAAGAAACTGGTGGACCCCAGAAGAGATGAGTACCGAAACGCGAAACCTTGCTTCTTTCTGAAAATTATTGTGAATGGAATTTGATGAAGTGACTTATGTGAATGGAATTTGATGAAGCGCGTGACGGACGCTGTTGAATTTCTTACAAAATGTCCCCAATCATGAAGATGAAGCCTGCGCTTTCAAATTGGCATGCCAGATATTGGAGGCGTGGCGGGTTATGGAATTGCTGCGCTTTTTTTCAGATTTTTTTTGCTTGCAGACTAAAGGATGGTAGTAGTGATGCTTTTTGTCCTTATTGCTTCTCAAACTTGCAAGCAAAGAAACAAGAAGAACCCACAAGAAAAGTTACGCTCTAACGGTCGTGAAAACCCCGAGCCCGAGCCCGCCTGCTAAACGGAGGTGCTATTTTGTGAAGAACGCGCCGGCAGCAGAATTGCAGGCACCGGCTGCGCCTGTAGTGGAAGGCGTTCCAGATGCAGGCATCGACGACGATGTGAAGTTCTACCTGGATGGCGAGTCGTCGTGGCTCGCGCGATTGCCAGCAGATGTCGAGAAAAAGTTAACGGCAAAGGATACGGTCATGATCGACATCATCATGCGAAAAGGAGAAATAACGGCGAGGGATATGGTTTTCCTCGATCAGCGCGGCTGCTCATGTCTTGCGATATCAGACGAAGCGGCCCAAGCAGCTCAAGTGAAGAGTACTGCTCCTGGGTGATTCGTTTCGCGTAGTTTATTTATCTATTCGCATTTTTGATTTTTATCTTTCTTATTTAATTTGTTTCAGTATTGTTGGGCAGAATGATAATGGGTAGATCAACAACGTGAAACGGCTCAAGGATCTCAGTCAAGAGGTCCCCCAAGATCGTGAACCATTTGGTTCACGATCTTGGTGGACCTCTTGACTGAGATCCTTGAGCCGTTTCACGTTGTTGCTCTATCCATTATCATTCTGCCCAACAAGTATGTTTATTCTTTTCCAGGTGCTGCGATATTTTTCAAGACGAGACGAAGGGGCAAGGAATTGATAGGCGCGAGGCGTGTAATAAATGAAGCAACGAAAAAACCGAAAAAAGAGAAGAAGAAAAAGCAGGAAGCTCATGCGGAGGCAGAGGGTGGGCAAAATATCGAGGAAGGTAGCAGGGTTTTTGCTTTTTTTGAATTTATTTCGAGGGGTTTGGTTGTCTAATGTTCAAGGTTGGCGTGCTTCGCTCGTGGGATTGTTTCTCTTTCTGCCTTTCGACTCAGGTGAGCCCATAGGTGAAGGGGAAGAGTATGACCAGCCAGAGCGTTCGCGAAATATAGGAGGAAGGCCGACAAAATACTCGAAGCATGGGTATCGCCGGCGGTGGTATTACCTGCTGAAAACCGTCAAGGACGTTCGGCAGGAGCTCAAGTATGAGAAAGAATACCAGAACGAATACACGCGGATGGCATTGGCTTTATCAGAGGCCGGACTTGACAACAATGCGAGTCTGACGACCGAGCGGCTGCAGTTATGAGGCTGCTCGCTTTTGTCTTTGTGCCGTCTGTTTTCTTCTCTTGCTTTTCTTGTATAATAAAAAGCGATATTATACGGCGCGTGCGTAGAGTGATCGAGTGCGCCGCAGGTAGGTAAGTGAATTCTAACACGCATCGACGGACTCTTCTCGCATGATACTTTGTCGCGGTACCGGGATGCAATATTATGGCTGTGTAGGTCTTGAATTATCGGGGGTCGATCTCACTACGAAAAATATATAGTCGGAATTTCTGGGAAGTCATTCAATTAGATGAAATTAGATAAAATTAGATGAAATTAGATGAAATTAGATGAAATTAGATGAAATTAGATGAAATTAGATGAAATTAGATGAAATTAGATGGAATTAGATGAAATTAGATGAAACTAGAGGGAATGGGATTGAATTAGACTAAATTAGACGAAGCTAGCTGGAACGATATGAAGCTGGACGCAATTAGATGAAACTAGGCGGAGACAATGGGGTGAAGTTTATTAATTGGCGCGAGATTATTGGCCGTTCATTGCTTGCTGAGAAGATACTACGGGAGAACCGGAGGGTTATTGTAGACGCATTCGATAGCTTTTGCGTGGTTGGAATTTATGGATGTCGCTACTCCGAATCTGGTTGAATCTTTGAAAGAGATTCGAGGGCTTTCAAGTATGTAGTTGAAGGATGAACTGCGGGCGCAAAGCTCTAAGGAATGCTAGCCGAACTAGCTGTAGACGAAGGGGAGCCAGATCCTCTTGCGAAAGAGTTCACGAGCGGGCTGCGAACTAAGGCGCCGCATATTTCGCGCTTTGGTCATGATGAGTTCAGTGCGACGATGCGAGCGAAACCGATATCGACAAGCAAAAAGCTGCCAGTATCGAGGGCGCAGAAGTTAAGAATCTGACAACTGGAGGCAATGGATTAAGGAAAGGTTGTCGATTTATTTGAAAGATGCAAAGTCGAGATTTCTAATTAAAGTGCAAAAGTACCAAGTAACGGCAACGACGCCGGACGGGAATCAGCTCGAGTATCTAACCGAGCTGGAGCTGCTGGAAAACAAGACGGCTGCGACAATTGCCGCGAGCATGGTCCACGTCACCAAAAACTATCTCAATGATATCGTCCTGAACTTGAAAACCAAACCGCGAAAGTTTCTGCAGATTTTTTGTGGTGATAATGTCTATACGAATTTCGCAGCTTATCGCCGTGCTCGTCCGATCATTCGGAGCATGTTCCTTGAGAATGGAGTCGAGTACTTCTCCTGCATGTTCGACTGTGCGCCCCATACAGTTAACCTGACGGCTTGCGCGGCCATCGTGGGACAGGCTGCAAGTCAAGTAAAGAGGCGAAAGCTATGGTCTTAGGTTCTTGCCCATCTTTTTCGTTGTGTTGGCGTGTTGTCTTGTTTTCGTAGTTTAAATTTTTAAGGTGGTTCTAATCCAAACGCTTGACGACGCCGATGCAGCTATTCAGGAAGCTGAAGATGGTGAAGTAGTAAATCCGGTACCGGAAGCAGCTCAGGCGAAATATGGCGTAAATGTTGGGCGGGCTCTTTCGTATGCGTACAAGTTTATCGCTCCGGCTTGCGCGGAGAAGTGGTGCGACAGTATTGAAGCAGCGCTTCGTGCTAAATCGGTTCAGGAGCTTCGTGAGCTTTCGGCGAAGTTGCTAGAATTGCAGAAGTTATGCGCTTTATTTGGATTGAAATAAGAACGCTCTTGAATTTGGGATAGGCGTGCGTGCTTTCTCTAACGATGTTATACGAAGGACTGGAGGGGCTGGCGCTTTCTGCTGAACGAGCTGCGGAAGGCTCGCGGCTCGCTTTGGATGATTTGATTTATGAAGCCAAGCGGCGCGCTGTGAAAATTCAAGAGCATCCGGTTCCGACGCGGTTTCATTTATTTGGGCCGTGCTGTGTCGCTTTATTCGTCGCGCTTGTTTTGGACCCAGGGGCTTCGTTCTTCAAGGATGCAGCGGAGAAGGATGACGCTTCGCAAAATGGGAAGCGTGTGAAGTTCTTGCTGAGTTTCTTCCGCAGTGAAATGTCGGCGAAGTTTCTGCGATTGGCTGTGATTGGTTGGATGGCGATCCGTCCCGCGGTGGCGATGTGCTCGGTCAAGGAGGATCTAGAGCCTGGCGCGACGCCGTTGCTCTTTCGGTTAAGTGCTGGGCACGTGCATTTCGCACTCAGCAACAAGGCGGCGGAGCTGCTTGAGATTAAGAGCCATGGCGCGCTTAGAAAGATAATCTACTTCCTTGGTTCTATGTCGTGCGTTACTTATTGGCCATGGATTGGGCTTGCGTGGATTTTCTGACTACTGTAGGAGCTTTATGGTGCAGACTAGAGCTATTTCTAATAGACATCTGCAGTATGATGCTGCGCTCGGAGAAGAGCCGGAGCTGGGTGCCGCTGCTGTCGGTCGAATTCTTTTGACCCTAATAGATGGGCACCGGCGATTGGAGAAGTATAGGGATTATCCTTGCCGTATCGCGTTGCTGAGTCGACTTATGGGCGAGAGCTTTCGTCTCGCGTTTAGGGTCTGCTTCCAGTTTTTTAGTGTTTTCGTTCACCTCTAATACCAAGTGGAATGGGAATCGTGCAGATGTGGAGGCGAATACTTTGCGCAGGGTCGAGAGCAAGGAGTTTTATTGTCCGTTTTCGTGGAGTGTGCGACTATGGGCGTGGTTTTGAATTTTATTGCATAAGGTCCAAACATTAGGTGTGTGAGACTGGTAGCGTGTCTAATAATTGAGCGCGTGCTGGAGTTTGGGACGGACGACGCAGAAGTACAGGAGACCGTGGATCAATTTCTCGAGACAGGGAAGCCAGAGAACATGTTATGGCGGAGATCAGAGCGAAAAAGTGCTCTTCTTATTTTGGTCTAAGTCTAGCAGGTTTCGGCTGGGGGTTAGTATGCTTCTAATTTCGGACGTGGAGCGTGAGATCGGATACGTCACCCACAAGTCACGAAATACGCGCCAAATTTTGACGGCTGCACGCGGAAGCAGAAACATTTGCGGGAAAGGGAATTCTAGTCCATAACTGTATACTTCCAACTCCTCAGATATACGTGAACTGCAAGGGGGAACTACTTAAGTTAACCAGATTGATATAAGTAGCTCAAATTAGTTCGAATTAGTCGCGATTAGCGAGAGAAGGATCTTCCCCCTTGGAGGCATCGGGGTCCATCGCGCTAATGTCCGATACTTCGATGCCACGGCAGACAGCGGCGGAAGCACTGGAATTATGGCTTTGCATTTTCTGAGCCGATGGAATTTGGTCGACAGTCTCTTGCTACTAACATAGGAAGGATTCGAATTTGAAAGCTCTAACCGGGGGCGATCAAGCAAATCGAGAAGAACATACGAGACAGTGGAAAAGTAGAGTATTGGAGTATTCGGAATCTTGCAAAAAAGAAGCTGAAGAGTTATGAGGATGATGAAAAGCTTGCGCAGTACATCGCGAACAACGAGAAACAATTGAAAGCGGAGCTGGCGGAGAGGAAGCGAGAAGCGAACAGTTATGGTTTCTACTTTTTTTCTTCGCGCTGCAAGTCTCATCGCTGTGGGGCCATGGTTCAGGCGCTCTCTCTAATCTTTGAAGGTGAAGACGCTGCTTATCGATAAGAAGCGAGCGCATGAGCCGATTGCCGGAATGGTTATGGTGGTCGCTTGATTTTCTAAAGGGTGGGGCGTTATCCTTGTCGTGTTAGGTTTTAGGATTCTAATCTTCGCATGCTGGATGTTGAGGATTGGGTATGGTGGAAGCGCAGCGACCCTTCTCCGGAAGGAGAGTTCCGCACCCTCATGCGCACTGCTACGGCTGAGAGGCGAAAGCGAGTGACGCCGCTGCGAGTGGGAACCAGTGAGGAGTACCCGGATGTCAAAATTCAACGGCCGCGACACTGGAGGGCTACGGATGTAACGCTGGAGCAAACGGGAGCGTGGTATGCCAATAACTTCAATCGTTTTTAAGGCCGGGCAGGTGGTCTTTTGCGTCGTGTGTTTAACGGGGCCGATCTGGTCACTTCACTCTTTGGATTATTGGTCAGGGCTTTCAGTCTGTCGCGTTTTACGTTTCGGACCTCTCCTTCTTTCCTCTAAAATTTAGCGGACCTTGCTGGGCAGTGGTTGCATATTACAGATCCGACGTTATGGCTTCAATTCAAGGGGTTTTCGAGTCGGTTGCGGATTTCTGAGTTTGTTTCTATTGAATGCATTCACTTGCTAGGATCTTTTTCTTCGTCCTTGAATCTGAAGCCCATCCATATCACACAACGGACAAAATGGTAGTTTTTGTGGGATATCAGCTCTGGGGTATGCGCTTCGATGCTGATGATATTGATCCCCTGCGGATTGACATCGCTCAGCTACAGGGAAAGGAGTGGAGTTACCGATATAGGCCGGAGCCTCTCGGGGATATTCTTGGGCATCTGGATGCGGAAACCACGAAGGCGTTTTATGGTGTTGGGTTCTTTTCCTTATGGGGTAGAGAGTGCTCTGCGTGTGTCTTATCTTTTATTTGTGGCTGTTGCTCGCTTTCATGATCATGTGCTGACCGAAGTGGAAGCCATTGAACTAGCGGGAAGAGGCAGGGCAGGCGAAGCCGTTGCGCGTCTCGAAGCCGTAAGCATTGCGGATCTTCCAGTAGTAGAAAGAAAGCAGAAAAACAAGAAGAAGGCAGGAGAAGCGCCTGAGGACGAGACGCAGGCGTTTGGAAGTTGTCACCCTGATGAGGAGTACGCTTATGGTATTAGGTTCGCTCGCGCTGTGGTCCACCTACAGGCTGTCGCTATTTATAGACAAGCAAAGCGTAGACCGTCTGGTAATGGACTCTAACATCAGCAACAGCTGGAAGATGAGGAGGAGGGTATGCCCTCTGACGGAGATTCGGACTGCTTATCAGATCGGGA